TGCGTCCCGGGTTCGGCTTCATGCGGGACGGGGCGTCTCTGGCGATGCTGCGTGAGATGCTGGTGATGATCAGGATCTGGGGTCTGCTGAAGCCCGGCTGCCTGCCCACCTTCACCGCTACCTCAGACAACCAGGACAGCATGCAGCTGCTGTTCAGACTGCTGACCCGCCTGTGGCTGTGCTGTGAGGAACACACACGACACACTCTGAACACACTCTGAACACACTCAGTGAACACACTCAGTGAACACACACTGAACACACACTGAACACACTCTGAACACACTCTGAACACACTCTGAACACACTCTGAACACACTCAGTGAACACACTCAGTGAACACACTCTGAACACACTCAGTGAACACACTCAGTGAACACACTCAGTGAACACACTCAGTGAACACACTCAGTGAACACACTCAGTGAACACACTCTGACACCAGTTACACTTCATTGAACCACTCTGAACACACTCAGTGAACACACTCAGTGACACACACTCAGTGAACACCCTCAGTGATCACACACTCAGTGAACACACTCAGTGAACACACTCTGAACACACTCAGTGAACACACTCAGTGAACACACTCAGTGAACACACTCTGAACACACTGTGAACACACTCAGTGAACACACTCAGTGAACACACTCTGAACACACTCTGAACACACTCAGTGAACACACTCAGTGAACACACTCTGAACACACTCTGAACACACTCTGAACACACTCTGAACACACTCTGAAGAAACACACTCTGAACACACTCAGTGAACACACTCTGAACACACTCTGAACACACTCAGTGAACACACTCAGTGAACACACTCAGTGAACACACTCAGTGAACACACTCAGTGAACACACTCTGTGAACACACTCAGTGAACACACTCAGTGAACACACTCTGAACACACTCTGAACACACTCAGTGAACACACTCAGTGAACACACTCAGTGAACACACTCAGTGAACACACTCAGTGAACACACTCAGTGAACACACTCTGAACACACTGTGAACACACTCAGTGAACACACTCAGTGAACACACTCTGAACACACTCAGTGAACACACTCAGTGAACACACTCTGAACACACTCTGAACACACTCTGAACACACTCTGAACACACTCTGAACACACTCTGAACACACTGTGAAGACTCTAAACAGACACAGCAAACAGCTGAGTAAATGGAGTCGTAACTTTTGTCAGTTTCAGTAAAGGAAAACTGTTTAATAAAATACATCTTATCATATATCTACATCCACTTTGAAATGCATTAAAGATGATTGTTTTGTTTCAGCGCGGGAGGACGGCCCCCCCCAGGACCCCGATGAGAGCCTGATAGACGAGTGCTGCCTGCTGCCCTCCCAGCTGCTGGTGCCCGGGATGGACTGGCTGCCTCTGAACGACGGCGTGATGGTGAAGCTGCAGGGCAAGACCCCGCTCAGACTGCAGTTTGGGAAGCCTTCCTCTGCGGGGGGGGGCTCCAACGGACCCCTGGAGATCTTCACCAGGTAAACACACTGAGGGGTTATTTGACCTAGCAACTCAAACTGTGTGTGGTTATTGTACAGACACATTGGGACTTAAAGGGCACCTATCATGCAAAATGCACTTTTTGATGTCTTTTCTACATCAACATGTGTCCCCGGTGTGTCAGGGAACTCACGCAGCGTCAGAAAATAAAACCCTCTCTCTTTTCCTCCGTACCCAAATCTTTTAAAAACGGAGCTGATCCAGATTTGCGTCCGATATGACGTAATATCTGAAATGTGGACCCACGGCCCTATCAGAAACGTTGCTATCAGAAACAATGCCCGACTGTTTTGGACGTAATATGGTCGGTGTTTACATTAGCATCGCTAACACTCAGAGCTAACCTGTACTGGAGAGCATGTGTGTGAAGAAGCAGGAAATAAAAAGGAACTCACCTTGTGGTATAACCGGCAAGAGAGAAAGCCTTTGAGCTCCATACTGTTTCAGAACTAATCCTTGATAATCCATGATATGGCGTTTCATCACGGCAGTATTTAGTTTAGACAGTAGCTGCCGGGTCCCGCATGAGCTCAGACCCCTCCTCTTTAAAGCTTTATACCCAGAATCAGCACTTTAGAAACAGGAAGTGAAATAGAGGGATATGAGGCATGGCTAGAATGATCTGTTTGGTATTTGGAGCAAAACACTTCATAGACATGTTTTTTATATATTTTTATATATCTGAGACCTATGCTATTGCTTAAAAATAGCATGATAGGTGACCTTTAATGATGAGTTTTTATAGATAGAAATTGAATAAAAAAGACTGAAATTAAACGTATGTGTTTATTTAATACGTATATGACATTAATAAATGCATACATTTATTTTTCTAAATGCAAAAGTAAGTAAATAAATATCAATGAAATACTTAAAAGATTTGTTCAGTAAATATGATATTAAATGTACCGAACATGTTTTAAAAATAAATATGTTATGTTATTTAATAAGTGAATAAATACCAATGTACCCATTTATTTATTGTGTGTGTGTGTGTGTGTGTGTGTGTGTGTGTGTGTGTGTGTGTGTGTGTGTGTGTGTGTGTGTGTGTGTGTGTGTGTGTGTGTGTGTGTGTGTGTGTGTGTGGTGTGTGTGTGTGTGTGTGTGTGTGTGTGTGTGTGTGTGTGTGTGTGTGTGTGTGTGTGTGTGTGTGTGTGTGTGTGTGTGTGTGTGTGTGTGTGTGTGTAGGAGTCCCAGCTCTCAGAAGATGGATCACCTGCGCTGCGTTCATATGGGCGTCTGTCCGACTGAGGAGAGCAAAGCCTGCACCAGGTGAGTCAACAGGAAGTGATGTCACAGCACACTCAACTGTACAGGAAATACATGTTAACTCTCTGTGTGTGTGTGTGTGCAGGTGCGGCTGTGTGACGATGCTCCGCTCTCCGAACAAGACGAGTGCCATGAAGCAGTGGGAGCAGCGCTGGATCAAAAACTGTCTGTGTGGAGGACTGTGGAGACGGATTCCCCCAATGCTCACCTGAACGCATCACCTGAACATGAACGCATCACCTGAACCTGAACGCATCACCTGAACCTGAACACATCACCTGAACATGAACGCATCACCTGAACATGAACGCATCACCTGAACCTGAACGCATCACCTGAACATGAACACATCACCTGAACCTGAACGCATCACCTGAACCTGAACGCATCACCTGAACCTGAACACATCACCTGAACCTGAACGCATCACCTGAACCTGAACACATCACCTGAACCTGAACGCATCACCTGAACCTGAACACATCACCTGAACATGAACACATCACCTGAACCTGAACGCATCACCTGAACCTGAACACATCACCTGAACCTGAACGCATCACCTGGACGCATCACCTGAACATGAACACATCACCTGAACCTGAACGCATCACCTGAACGCATCACCTGAACATGAACGCATCACCTGAACATGAACACATCACCTGAAACTGAACGCATCACCTGGACGCATCACCTGAACATGAACACATCACCTGAACCTGAACGCATCACCTGAACCTGAACGCATCACCTGAACCTGAACGCATCACAATTGAACCCATTACTGAAACCTGGACACGTCTCACCGGTTTCAGTTTTTTTTCCTGTAAATATACTTTGTTTTGTTTTTTACTTTGTAATAAAACTGTCAAAATAAAAGCTCTGCTTCCTGTTTTTGTTGATTTTGCTTTCCGAGAGTTTTAAAGTTCTTTTTTTTACGAGTCATGCAGTGAAAATATATTACTTCCATATTTGTTACGTATTTTATAACTGTCTTTGATATTCAAGCAGAAAGTAATAAGAGAAAGACAGCCCTGAGTAAACACAAAACCTGGATTAAGAAATACTCCGACCGACCTGCAGCTAAGGGGGCGGGACATCTCTGAGCTGCTGACCAATCACAACAGAGCCGGCCAGCTAACCAATCAGAGCAGACCGGGCTGTGGTTTCAGACAGGGTGAAAAGAGGTGCTGCAGCACAGGCAGTATGAGCGAAATAAAGAGCTTTTTGAACATTAAAGCATGGAGACATGTAGAGACACTACATACTGATATACACCTGAACATCAGCAGGAGAGGACTCTTTAAAGTAGAGACACTACATACTGATATACACCTGAACATCAGCAGGAGAGGACTCTTTAAAGTAGAGACACTACATACTGATATACACCTGAACATCAGCAGGAGAGGACTCTTTAAAGTAGAGACACTACATACTGATATACACCTGAACATCAGCAGGAGAGGACTCTTTAAAGTAGAGGACACTACATACTGATATACACCTGAACATCAGCAGGAGAGGACTCTTTAAAGTAGAGACACTACATACTGATATACACCTGAACATCAGCAGGAGAGGACTCTTTAAAGTAGAGACACTACATACTGATATACACCTGAACATCAGCAGGAGAGGACTCTTTAAAGTAGAGACACTACATACTGATATACACCTGAACATCAGCAGGAGAGGACTCTTTAAAGGGTTTCATTTCTTGTCTTCTTGTTGTCTCACACTCTGACATGTGGAGAAGCCGGGGATCGAACCGCAGACCTTCTGATCCGCAGCTGCAGTGTGTTTTCTTATTGTCACTGCCTGAGGGGGAGTATACATTACAGGATCCTTAAATAAAAAATACTGTTTATCAGCAGGAAGGAAAACATCTTAAACCCATAGTCTTCATTGTGATGTTGATTTATATTTCGTTAAAATATTTTGTATTGTATTTTTTTAATGAATTTATGCAGTATGCACCAATCAGCTGAAATTCATGTTGGAGGCAGTAATCAACTGCCATACCCACACACACACTGACAGGCTTTAGACACCTCCACACACGCACAGACACACACACACACACACACACACACACACACACACACACACACACACACACACACACACACACACACACACACACCGTGCAGCAGCAGAGCGGCTGTTGAACAGCGATCGGTCGCAGCTCTTGTTTTCTGGGAGGATAATCCGGGCTAACGGAACCAGACCGGTTCTCACCGAGCCTCTGTAACCCGGGACAACCAGCGGGAGGGTCCGGTACCGGCTCCGGTTCTGCAGAAACGTGACGGGAATCAAAGGTGCGTGCATGTGTGTGTGTGCATGTGTGTCTGTGTGTGTGTGTGGGTTCTGCAGAGCTGCATCCTCTGACTCATTTATTCAAACTGAAATCAGAGACAATAAAACCCTGGACATCCGGTCCGCACCGAGCTGCAGCGTGTGTGTGTGTGTGTGTGTGTGTGTGTGTGAGTGTGTGCGCGCGCGTGTGTGTGTGTGTGCGTGCGTGCGTGTGTGTGTGTGTGTGTTAATGACTGCAGCAGGCCCTCACCTGTCTGTCTGTAAACGGAGTGCTTATAAAACGCTTTGCATGCCAGCATCACACTGAGACTGATATGTAACACACCACCTGCTCACACACACACGCACACACACACACACACGCACAATGTTTGCAATTGGGAGCAGTTTAGGGTTTAGAATCTTGCTCAAGGGCACATCAACATGTTGACTGCAGGGGCCGGGGATCAAACCACCAACCTCTGATTGGTGGATGACTGATTTACCTTTTGAGCCGGTGTGTCTGTGTGTGTGTGTGTGTGTGTGTGTGTGTGTGTGTGTGTGTGTGTGTGTGTGTGTGTGTGTGTGTGTGTTTGCAGGTCGATCAGGATGATGATGAACTCTGAGAAGATGATAAAGAAGAAACCTCCAAAGGACAGTCTGACTCTGCTGCCATGTTTCTACTTTGTAGAGGTAGGAAACAAAATAAATAATAATAATAACAAAAGTATTTAGTTATTATCTGTGCATGTAGACCTGTAATAACACATTCCATGTATTCCTCGAGATTGTGGGAAACAGTATTTCGATCTCTCTGTCTGTACACACAAACTGAAACATTGACAATAAAGTTTAATTTGACTTTCCTCGACTGACGGGTTCTGCGTCTCAAAGCTAAAGGTCTGAATGTTTTTTTGCTTCTTTTATTGGTGTCTCCATCTTTGGTGTACTTTTCCACAGCTGCCCATCGTGGCTTCTTCTATGGTGTCGCTGTACTTCCTGGAGCTGACGGACGTGGTGCAGCCGGCGCTGGTCGGGTTCAGATGTCACGACAGAGAGCTCAGCATGCCGTACGTCGACTCTGGAGACGAGCTGATCCCTATGTTGATGCTGCTGAGCCTCGCATTCGCTGGGCCTGCTGCCTCGGTAACACACACACACACACACACACACACACACACACACACACACACACACACACATACACACCCACACACACACACACACACACACACACACACACAAATCCGCAATAAACCGTATTTAATTTCATATTCTGTTCTTGTACATATCATATTCTATTTACATGTATAAAGACTTTTTGCACTACTTTTCACTTGTATTTTTGTATTTCAATATATATGTTGCATTGTGGGAGGAGCTCAGGTCAGAAGAATTTCTGGTGCGTTTGTTCCAGTAATTGAGTGTTAGTTTATTTGTTGTGTTACTGAGGGTGCGTTTGTTTTGTTCAGATCATGCTGGTGGAGGGGATGATCTACTGTCTGCAGTCCAGGCTGAGGCTCCGCCGGCCGGAGGGCAGCATCAACGCTGGAGGCTGCAACTTCAACTCCTTCCTCAGGAGGACGGTGCGCTTCGTAGGTGAGACCTGTCTGTCTCTCACAGGTGTTCAGTACCTGTCTCTCTCTCTCAGGTGTTCAGTACCTGTCTGTCTTTCTCAGCTGTACCTGTCTGTCTCTCTCTTATGTACCTGTCTCTCTCAGGTGTTCAGTACCTGTCCCTCTCCTCTGTACCTGTCTGTCTCTCTCAGGTGTTCAGAGTGTTCAGTACCTGTCTGTCTCTCTCCTCTGTACCTGTCTGTATCTCCCAGGTGTTCAGTAGCTGTCTCTCTCCTCTGTACCTGTCTGTCTCTCCCAGGTGTTCAGTAGCTGTCTCTCTCCTCTGTACCTGTCTGTCTCTCTCAGGTGTTCAGTAGCTGTCTCTCTCCTCTGTACCTGTCTGTCTCTCTCAGGTGTTCAGAGTGTTCAGTACCTGTCTGTCTCTCTCAGGTGTTCAGAGTGTTCAGTACCTGTCTCATTCTCTCAGGTGTTCAGTACCTGGCTGTCTCTCTCAGCTGTACCTGTCTGTCTCTCTATTATGTACCTGTGTCTCTCAGGTGTTCAGCACCTGTCCCTCTCCTCTGTACCTGTCTGTTTCTCCCAGGTGTACAGTGTTCAGTACCTGTCTGTCTCTCCCAGGTGTTCAGTACCTGTCTGTCTCTCCCAGATGTTCAGCACCTGTCCCTCTCCTCTGTACCTGTCTGTCTCTCCCAGGTGTACAGAGTGTTCAGTACCTGTCTGTCTCTCCCAGGTGTACAGAGTGTTCAGTACCTGTCTGTCTCTCCCAGGTGTACAGAGTGTTCAGTACCTGTCTGTCTCTCCCAGGTGTGCATGTGTTTGGCCTGTGTGCGACGGCCTTGCTGACGGACATCATCCAGCTGTCCACAGGTTATCACGCTCCCTTCTTCCTCACCGTCTGTAAACCCAACTACACGCTGGCCGGCTGCGACAGAAACTCTTACATCACCAGAGACGTGTGTTCAGGGACGGACCAACACGCCATCATGGCCGCCAGGTGAGGCTCCTCACACACCGGAGGCTTCTCTTCAGAGATGGGAAGAGTACACACATCCTTTACTCAAGTAGAAGTACACACATCCTTTCCTCAAGTAGAAGTACACACATCCTTTACTCGAGTAGAAGTACACACATCCTTTACTCAAGTAGAAGTACAGATACTCGTGTTTAAAAATACTCTGGTGAAAGTAGAAGTACTGACTAAACTTCTTTACTCAAGTCAAAGTAAAGAGGCTTTGAAATGTACTTCAGTAAAAAGTACCCATAACTAGCAGCTGTTTTAAAGAGTACCTGACCTCCCTTATATTAATAGAACAATAATGTCATTGTTAGCTAATGAATGTTTCCATGCTGAACAACGGCAACATGACAACGTTTTCATTGGTCCCTCTTCTTTAGAGAAGACCAGGAAATGATGGATACACGGATCGTGTTCAAATCAATAGGCACGCAATGACTCTAAATAATAATGATCACGCCACCAAACATTTGGTTTTGGAACATAATATGGCGTTTCATCACGGCAGCATTTAGCCGAGTTTCTGCTGCTAGAATTCTCCTGACGAGCTCTCGTCTCTCGACTGAAGCTCTCCTTTGTGCTCCAGTCAATCCTCACATTAAATACAGAGAGATCTAATGTACGTCAGAGAGTCTTTGAGCATGTTTCTCTCAGTGATTATGGTATGTTGAATGTCTGTTCCCTTGCATCTAGTCTTACCACTCTTTGTTCTCTCCTGACAGGAAAACCTTCCCTTCCCAGCATGCAACTCTGTCTGCCTTCGCTGCTGTCTATGTTTCTGTGAGTGAGACTCGTTTCAAACCAACACAACTTTATTTAAAACCATGCAGCACACATGATGAATATTCACTTTGACTTAACTGTGATATAAACACAGAGAAGATACAGAGGGTGAATCAGGACTTTTTCATCATTTAATGAACCATTGTAATAAACACTAACTGAAAGTAGGAATAAATAAACAAATGAAAACACAAACAAAATAGTAAATAATGTCAATCTAATATTTAATAATCCATTACTTGCACAATTAATGTATATATATTATCCTGCTTATATTTTGTTACTGTACATTTGTATTTCCACATGTATATTTTTCACTTTTTTAATGCTATTTTATTTCAATTTGAGACGTTTACATTTTGGATTGTTTATTTCTAGTCTTTTAATTTCTCCAATGTACAAAGGCTTGTCTTGTCTGCTGCTGCAACGCAAACATTTCAAACAAATTGGGATCAATAAAGTACTTCTTATCTTATCTTAAAATGTGACGTGTAATCAGGTAGATCATTTGTTTATATATAATTTGTAAGTCAATAATATTTTTGTTTATCAATTTGATACTGCTTCAGTTTGTACAGCATCATAATTCTCATGTTTCATTTCATCATTATTATTATTTTTGTTTTATTATTGTTTTACACATCAAATCAAATGAAATCAAAAAATCGAATCCAAAATGTTTAAATCTGTCTGTGTTTCAGATGTATTTCAACGCGACCATCTCCGACAGCACCAAGCTGCTCAAACCGGTCCTGGTGTTTGCGTTTGCGATCGCGGCGGCTCTGACGGGTCTGACTCAGATCACACAGCACCGCAGCCATCCGAGCGACGTCTACGTGGGATTCATGATCGGAGCCTTCATCGCCGCCTATCTGGTGAGACAGGAACTCATTTATCTGTATTTTAAGGTCCTATTATGCAAAATCCTCTTCTTCATGTCTCTTCTTCATCAACATGTGTCCCCTCTTCTTCATGTCTCTTCTACATCAACATGTGTCCCCTCTTCTTCATGTCTCTTCTTCATCAACATGTGTCCCCTCTTCTTCATGTCTCTTCTACATCAACATGTGTCCCCTCTTCTTCATGTCTCTTCTACATCAACATGTGTCCCCTCTTCTTCATGTCTCTTCTACATCAACATGTGTCCCCTCTTCTTCATGTCTCTTCTACATCAACATGTGTCCCCTCTTCTTCATGTCTCTTCTACATCAACATGTGTCCCCTCTTCATCATGTCTCTTCTTCATCAACATGTGTCCCCTCTTCTTCATGTCTCTTCTACATCAACATGTGTCCCCTCTTCATCATGTCTCTTCTACATCAACATGTGTCCCCTCTTCTTCATGTCTCTTCTACATCAACATGTGTCCCCCTCTTCTTCATGTCTCTTCTACATCAACATGTGTCCCCCTCTTCTTCATGTCTCTTCTTCATCAACATGTGTCCCCTCTTCTTCATGTCTCTTCCACATCAACATGTGTCCCCCTCTTCTTCATGTCTCTTCTTCATCAACATGTGTCCCCTCTTCTTCATGTCTCTTCTACATCAACATGTGGTCCCCTCTTCTTCATGTCTCTTCTACATCAACATGTGTCCCCTCTTCTTCATGTCTCTTCTACATCAACATGTGTCCCCTCTTCTTCATGTCTCTTCTTCATCAACATGTGTCCCCTCTTCTTCAGGTCTCTTCTACAATCAACATGTGTCCCCTCTTCTTCATGTCTCTTCTACATCAACATGTGTCCCCTCTTCTTCATGTCTCTTCTTCATCAACATGTGTCCCCTCTTCTTCATGTCTCTTCTTCATCAACATGTGTCCCCCTCTTCTTCATGTCTCTTCTACATCAACATGTGTCCCCTCTTCTTCATGTCTCTTCTACATCAACATGTGTCCCCTCTTCTTCATGTCTCTTCTACATCAACATGTGTCCCCTCTTCTTCATGTCTCTTCTTCATCAACATGTGTCCCCTCTTCTTCATGTCTCTTCTACATCAACATGTGTCCCCTCTTCTTCATGTCTCTTCTACATCACATGTGTCCCCTCTTCTTCATGTCTCTTCTTCATCAACATGTGTCCCCTCTTCTTCATGTCTCTTCTACATCAACATGTGTCCCCTCTTCTTCATGTCTCTTCTTTCTCAACATGTGTCCCCTCTTCTTCATGTCTCTTCTTCATCAACATGTGTCCCCTCTTCTTCATGTCTCTTCTACATCAACATGTGTCCCCTCTTCTTCATGTCTCTTCTACATCAACATGTGTCCCCTCTTCTTCATGTCTCTTCTACATCAACATGTGTCCCCTCTTCTTCATGTCTCTTCTACATCAACATGTGTCCCCTCTTCTTCATGTCTCTTCTTCATCAACATGTGGTCCCCTCTTCTTCATGTCTCTTCTACATCAACATGTGTCCCCTCTTCTTCATGTCTCTTCTTCATCAACATGTGTCCCCTCTGTGGAAAGAGACTCTGAAAGTTTCAGGAACAAAGATTCTCTCTCTTTTTGTCCTGATCCATTTATATAAAAACCTGTCTGAAAATCGCGTTCACACCGGAATAAGTCCCTAGACGGAATATATTCGGTTAACGCGACCTCTGCTCTGTATATATCTGAGACCTGTAATATATTGATGAAAAACAGTATAATAGGGGACGTTTAAGATACGATACACTTTATGGTCCTGCAGTTCCACATATCATAAATACTACATAGTACATATACATACATTTTACAGACTGTAACATTAAATACATAAAAATACAATACAAAGGGGCTTTATTGGCATGACCACATTTTAAACATAGTATTGCCAAAGCATTCCACACACGGCGTTATAACAGAACAAAACAAAAATCAACACAAAACATAAATGTCAACAATACATGTGGAACATACATACATAGATATATCCATATATAATGTTTTTAATATTGTGTGTGTGTGTGTGTGTGTGTGTGTGTGTGTGTGTGTGTGTGTGTGTGTGTGTGTGTGTGTGTGTGTGTGTGTGTGTGTGGTGTTTCTGTCTCCAGGCTTGTCACGCTGTCGCCAACTTCAAGTCCTCTGATGATATCATCCCAGCCCCGCCTCCACCACCGCCGAAAGAAGATCCCCTTCGAGCGCTGACGGAGCGAGGACACGAGTCCGTCTACAACAAAGGTCCCGCCTCGGCATCTGAGAGCAACGACGAGATCACGGCGACCCCGGTACCAAGAGTTGGGATGGATACGTCCCTGCAGGGGTCTCCGGGGGAAAGTCTGAAGAGAGCCAGCGTTGACGTGGAACTACTGGCCCCTCGGAGCCCAATGGGGAAAGAAACAATGCTCACCTTTAGCAACACCTTACCGAGGAGTAGCATGAACGTGGATGGTTTCCTGGAGGAAGTAGGTCCAATGCAACCCATGCAACAAGTGCAACAAGTGCAACCAGTGCAACCAGTGCAAAGGCGTTTGAAAGCGGTTCAGGGGCCGGTCGATCCAATGCGTTCCCAGCAACTGGTGTCAGAGTGGAAGCAGAAATCGATGGAAATGAGAGGCGTTCGGGATGAAGTGGAACGTGAGAATAGCGAAGATGGAGGATCGGAGGTGGGATCATCTGTGGGGACGGATGATTCAACAACACCCGTGTTCCCAGTTCATTCTGTGAGGGCGCCGTCCAGTCGTAATAACCCCACTCCGCCTCCAGTTGGCGCCAAAGCTGTAGCGACTCCCCGCCCGCCACAGATCCAAGAAGCAGCGCCGCCTCAAGTGTCTCCGAAAAGCGCTTTGACTCGGGCGAAGTGGCTCTCAATTCGGGAGAAAACGAGTGGCGGTGAGGCGTCGAATCGCACCAATCAACCTCGTTTAATGCAAGTTATCGCCATGTCCAAACAGCAGGGGCTCCTCCCTTCTTCTTCCACCTCTTCGGGGGAAAAGTCCTCCGAAACCACTTCCACCTCCTCCTCCTCAAACGCCAACGAGTCGCCGCATTACCGCGAACATAAAGAAAATCCGGGTATTGTCACTGTTGACGCTCATGCCCCGCATCATCCAGTAGTTCAAGCCCCGTCCCCTCTGCAAGCCCCGCCCCTAGCAGGAAACGGTAATCCATGGGAGTGGGGAGCGAGGCCAAGTGACCCGCGAGACTCCTACGATCTGAACAGCTTGACCAGAGGCGATTCCTCCGCTCACGGGAGCAGTTTTCGGCCTCATCGCTCAGCCTCTCCAGGTGCTGATCCTCAGAGAGAGATTGCTGTGGAGGCTCAGCGCCGAGAAATGGCCATGAGACGCAAAACGGCTCTGGTTCTGCTGGACCGAGAGATCAGGAACCAGACGGAGCAGGAGAACTATTACAAGAGTCTGCAGGGACGCAGGTTCAAGGAGTAGAACCTTTCAAAACAAAAGCCTTATGTGGCAGCGGGGTGTGGTTAGAGCGCCGTGGAGTGATGGGAGACCAGACAGCTGATCAGAATCAGGCAATAGAGCGGTGCAGTGATGACGTACTTTTGTAGGCCGACCCGGAAGTAAGCTGCAAGGGTTCCCTCGACAAAAAAGCAACGGGATTTCTCCATAGGAATTGGGATTATTGTAAAAAATAAGATCTGTGGAAAACGAACCTGTTTGATTAAGTTCCATATTTAAACATACAGATTCTAAGTTGAAGCGTTTGTTTGAACAGTTTGCAGGAGGCAGGTACTTGCTCTCAAGCAGAACAGGGCAAACTAACTTAGAGGAGTGTTTACGTGTTCGGCGTAATGACGTACAACGGCCTCCACGACTTCTGTAGTCCTATTCAGCCACTTGGTAACAACCATCGTTTTTCAGACACGTCAACTCTTCAGAAATCACCAGTGGGGTCACTGCTGATGGATTTAATGTCCTAGAACAAAATGTGATCTGTCTCTTCAATGTGTCTCAACCACAGACCTTATTTACAGATATTTTCCAAAATCCTATGGAGAGATCCCATTGGCTCTGAGACGAGGGAACAGGAAGTGGTGAAATGCTGACTCACTTCCAGGTTTTAGGACTCATTCCTGCACCACTCTATTAGGCTCTCAATAAAAGCATGTTGGTAACCTGGTCTCTGTTGGCCAGTAGGCTGGGTCCTGGGAGGACGTCTTGACCACCGAAACAGAAACTGTAAAAGACCCCGGACCGTTTACGTTTTTTTGTGTTCGTTGTTATTTTTTTGCTGAAATAAACCGGTTTTGTTTCACCCCCAAATCCTTCTCCTTCTGTTCTTTTTAAACTGTGTGTGAGCGGAGGTGCTCGTCTGAACAGGGACAGGACGGAAGGAGAAGGATCTTTAGGGGGAAACAAAACCGGTTTATTGCAGCAAAAAAATAACAACGAACACAAAAACACTTAAACGGTCCGGGGTCTTTACAGTTCTTGTTTCGGCGTTCCAGACTTCCTCCCATAATCCAGCTACTGGCCAAAAGAGACCAGAGCCAGGTTACCAACCTGCTTTTATTGAGTGATTGATTACCTGATTCTGATCAGCTGTCTGGTCTCCGGCGCTCTTACCACTCCCCGCTGCCACACCTTACTTTCAAACTGGACTTCCAGCAGTGCTGAGCTTCATGTGGTTTTACAGTTTCCATCCAACACTCGGAGGCTTCTCAACACATCACATTGAGTTACTGAGGATCAGTTTTCTAACAGCCACAGGGGGTCTGTTAGCCTCCATCAGAATCACAATGAATGGCTCCCTGTGTTGTGCTGCACGTAATGTATGCAGAGGGTTCTTTCTTTTATACCTGAACATAAGACGTGGAAAAGATCTCTGCTGCTTTAACAGACTGCAGAGAGGAAACTGAGAGGTGAATTCACAGAGAGCTGATGAGCAGGGCGAGGGTCACCTGCTGCTCTCTGACTGAAATACAGCACAAACAGGTACAGAAAGTTTTGCTGCTTTGGGATTTATTTTACGCCTGATAGTTATGATCCATGTGCAAAGGTCTAAACGTGGCTTTGTAGGCAGAACAATGAACAAACGGTGAACAAATAAATAAAAGTTGAGGCGTTTCTGTGCTGCTGCTGAGGCTTTCTAACCTCCTCATAACAGAAGGTGTGAGGATTTAAAGACATTTAAATATAAATAAATATGCAAAGTATAGATTTCACAAGAACTCATCAGTGGGAACACCTGATTTTTTCTGATAGGACATCATGTTAATAACAAAATCATGTTGAAATCTGCAGGAGAGCTAGCTAATGTTAGCTATTAGCTGTTAGCTGCTAGCCTTTAGCTGTTAGCAGCTGGGGAAATGTGATTCTGACACATCTATGGTGCGTTCAGGCTGAGTTCAGTAGATATGAGTATTGGGCAAAGCTGAATGATAACGATATAATGATGGTTGTGAATATAATCTGGTAAAATATCCTACAAGCGAGGTTATCATTTCTCTCTGTTAGCGCTGGTGGGAATCAGATTGCATAAAAAGGGACATTTTGCTCAAAATCAATCTAAATATTTATTTAATTTAAGTTACGCAGCAAGAGCAGCAAGATGATTGGCTGCTGTGAATTCACCTCTCAGCAATAAAACACCTTTGTCCACCTGAAGACCAGAAACCTCTCTGACACTGGAGGATTCATCCGGAAGAACCAGGAGGATTTATCATCATGAATTCAAGAGGATTTAAAATCAGGTCTGATTTCTGAACGCTGGACCTTCAGTGTTGAACCCCCAGAAGCAGGAAGCTGCAGCGTTTCCATGGAGACTGAGTCAAAGGCTCTGATTGGACGTTTGCTGTTGTCATGGTTGGTTGCTATAGTGATTCTCAGCATGTGTGTGTGTGTGTGTGTGTGCTGCCCTCTGATTGATTCAGAGCGTTTCTGTGTGTGAATCTGATTGGGTGTATTTATTAAAGACCGACATGAGATTAAATATTTAAATTAAATATGTTGCTCATATTCAGAATTTAAAAACAAACATACAGAGTTTCTTAAAGCGCGGAAAAAACAGTCATAGTATACAAGCTTCCCGAAAACTGTAATATACTTTTTTTTTAATTCAAACAACAATAAGTAAAGAAATTAAGGAGAAAATATGAGATTAATATTTTTTGAAGATTGAGTTTAATGTAAAATAAGAAACTAAACATTTAAAAATAAAAGTGTAATATTTCCAAAGCAAGTGTTGTAATATAACAGAATATTTAATATTTTAATCTGATTATTTTGTCCTCACTGTGGCTCTAAACTCACAGAAATACAACAGGTGGCCGATGGGTGCAAACACTAAAGAAAACTCTTCCATCAGGAGAAACGAGCTGCAGCTTCAGAAACGATGCAGATATAAAAACCCAAAGGTTCCACATGAAGAAACATCTCGAGCAACTTGACAACACATGCAGCATTTAGAAAACATTCAGCAACTTGAGGAGACATGCGCAGCGTTTACTAAAAGCTGCAGAAACCAAAACACAACGGAGACCAGGGGACACTAAAGAGTGACGCACACAGCTGGGAGACCAGGGGACACTAAAGAGTGACGCACACAGCTGGGAGACCAGGGGACACTAAAGAGTGACGCACACAGCTGGGAGACCAGGGGACACTAAACAGTGACGCACACAGCTGGGAGACCAGGGGACACTAAAGAGTGACGCACACAGCTGGGAGACCAGGGGACACTAAAGAGTGACGCACACAGCTGGGACGCAGCGCTTGGTGACGTTCAGGATTATATAACTGTCCAACTGTTGTTGGAAATTTACCTGAAATGTTTGATGTGGTCACATGACTCCTGATGTTACTGCAGATCTGCTGTAAGCTAGCTAGCTAACGTAGCTAACCTAGTCATTTCAGATATACTGACAAACACTTACAGTTATGAGACGACTAACTCTGAGACAGAGACAGTTGTTCAGCTTTATAATCCTGAACGTCTCCAAGCGCTCCGTCCCAGCTGTGTGCGTCACTCTTTAGTGTCCCCTGGTCTCCCAGCTGTGTGCGTCACTCTTCAGTGTCCCCTGGTCTCCCAGCTGTGTGCGTCACTCTTTAGTGTCCCCTGGTCTCCCAGCTGTGTGCGTCACTCTTTAGTGTCCCCTGGTCTCCCAGCTGTGTGCGTCACTCTTTAGTGTCCCCTGGTCTCCCAGCTGTGTGCGTCATTCTTTAGTGTCCCCTGGTCTCCCAGCTGTGTGCGTCACTCTTTAGTGTCCCCTGGTCTCCCAGCTGGTGTGCGTCACTCTTTAGTGTCCCCTAGTCTCCCAGCTGGTGTGCGTCACTCTTTAGTGTCCCCATGCTTCTTCATGTGTACAGGAACATTTGGGTTTTTATATCTGCATCCTTTCTGAAGCTGCAGCGTGTTTCTCCAGATGGAAGAGTTTCGGTCCGTTTGTTCGTTTGCACCGATTGGCCGTCGTAAACAGGAATTGCAAGAAACCTAAAAATATTCAGTGAAAGACGTCGAGGACTTTTTGTGTGATATGAAATATTGATGAGATGTTAACGTGTCCGTGTTGTTGCATGTGTCCACAGTGTGTCCATCTCTCAGATAAATGATCCTGAGACATTTCCATCTGAATGTAAAAACATGGAGCCTCTTTTATCTTGAATCTGTGCATTTTGTGACTGGAAATGTTTAAAAGAAAAAACTGCTGCTATAAAAAAAGTTTATCTGTAAGAACAGACTGGAGGGTGGATGCATGCTCGATGGTCATACGATGAAAGTGCAAAATTAAAAGCTATTCTTGATCAGAAGTTATTATACTTGTCACAACAGTCTGTTTGTTTTCCTGTTTCTCTAAAGGTAATAATTCAGCATTCAATTCTAATGAGGTGCGTTCACATCTGACTAAAGCTAATTTACAACCTAATAATACTATATATACTTACTCAAACTGGACGTGCTGGAGAGGAGGCGGGGCTTTTCTTTATGTAGACACCTATACACGGTTCATTTCATCAGCCATGGGCGTAAACAACCCCTCTTGCTGCTTGGTGCATGTTGTTAAAGTGTCAGATATGTCAGGAAAACACATTGTATTTCACTGTGGCTGTCAGGGAGTGCGGTCTTCTTTCAATCAGGTTGTTGGTTCGATCCCTTGCAGTCAACATGATGACGTATCCCAGGGCAAGATACTTACGGTACGTCCACACGGCAGCGTCGCGTTGAAGCTTGCCGGTGGGCGTGTCTGGTGTTCGACCAACAACCAATCACATTAATCTCCCGCCCCGGACACACAAGCACGCGGTTTGATTGGCTAGAGCTTGTACTGGCATATGATTTGATTGGCTGGCGCTTCCGTCGACGCTTGAAAAGTTGAACTTTTCTCAACTTTCGAAGCGAGCAACGGAGACAAGCGACGGAACCACAATGCAGTTCGGCAAAGCGTGACGTCACCACATTCAAAGTGAATGGGAAGCGTCTCCGTTGAAGCACGCGACGCTGCCGTGTGGACGTACCGTTAACCCAGAGTTGTTCCCGATATCCAAGTGTGTGTATGTGTGTGATTGCTAGATTTTCCTTAAGCAAAAAGTGGTACTGCTCTGTATGAATATGTGTGAAAGGGTGAATGATGACTTGTGAATGTAAAGCGCTTTGAGGGGTCGTAGAGACTGGATAAATACGTGTATAAGTACAGTCCATTTATCATATTGTAGGTTGTGGTGATTGACATTATCCACCCACAGATCTAGGGGTTGGTGTATTGTTCCGCACGGACATTTGAGTGTGGCGGACTTGCTGTTTCCGCCGGTATTCTTCTCCTCGTGCATGTTGTTGTTGACATGAAGTTCCGATGCAAAATAAAAGTCTAGCTTGTTCATTTGATACCCCGCCTCCGACTCCCGTCTCTCGGCACCACAAGGTACAAATTGGTCTCTAGTACACGTTAGCATCGTGTGTGTACGAGCTAGTTCCCTCAGTGTGAAACGTAGTCTCTCGTTTGTCCAAGTTAGCATCTTGTGTGCACAGTAATAGTGTGTCCATACGAGAGGTTGGGTATTTAAAGCTGAGAACAGAAACACTGGAGTCTCTAAACGTTCCTCTGCTTTTCATTTCCTCTCTAATCTGCACTTTTATATCTCCGCCCCGTCTCTTCAGTTTGAACATTTCTTCTTACAGTTTCTCCATACAGTAATTTAAGCGAGCTGCAGTTCTTGGTCCCGCCGGGCCTCGGGTTAAACAGTCCAATTAAAGTTGAGAGATTAAAGAGCTGTGAGATGTTCAGAGTCTGCGGGAGATTTCCCGTCTCGGCCTCCTGAGGACACTTAAAGGAAATCTTTAATAAAGACGTGAACTTCCTCTGAACCAGTTCACATCCAGGATCCATGTCAGGGCCCCCAGGAAACTTTGATCCTCTCAATGAGTTTCTGTGGTATCTGCATGCTGCTGCTTTTAAAGTGTTAATCCATATTTAATATCCTTTGTTCTTCGGGAACACCATATCGTAAAGCCATGACGGTAAAACGTCTGGAATAAAAGATTTCCTCGTGTTGAAGTAACCTCAAATTAACGAAGGACATATATTAAGACTTGAAGACTGTGAACCTAGAGTGGTGCAGGAATGAGTCCTAAAACCTGGAAATGAGTCAGCATTTCCTCACTTCCTGTCCCCTGGTCTGGAGGTCAATGGTTTTCTATATGTGTTTTTGGTTATTATCCTGAAATAAGGTCTGTGGTTAACACAAGCTGAAGATATTTTAACGTTTTGTTCTACCACATAAAATACATCAGTAAATACCCCACTGGTGGATTAGCAGACGGAGGTTGCTAACAAGTGTCTAAATGAGACGACTAAACGTCATCACACCCAACATTAGCCTCCTTTAGCTTAGCGGTGGTGACGTGAAGTCATGTGACCGTGCTGTAGTTCCTTTATAGCCCAACATTAGCCACCTTTAGCTTAGCGGTGGTGACGTGAAGTCATGTGACCGTCCTGTAGTTCCTTTATAGCCCAACATTAGCCACCTTTAGCTTAGCGGTGGTGACGTGAAGTCATGTGACCGTGCTGTAGTTCCTTTATAGCCCAACATTAGCCACCTTTAGCTTAGCGGTGGTGACGTCAAGTCATGTGACCGTGCTGTAGTTCCTTTATAGCCAACATTAGCCTCCTTTAGCTTAGCGGTGGTGACGTGAAGTCATGTGACCGTGCTGTAGTTCCTTTATAGCCCAACATTAGCCACCTTTAGCTTAGCGGTGGTGACGTGAAGTCATGTGACCGTGCTGTAGTTCCTTTATAGCCCAACATTAGCCACCTTTAGCTTAGCGGTGGTGACGTGAAGTCATGTGACCGTCCTGTAGTTCCTTTATAGCCCAACATTAGCCGCCTTTAGCTTAGCGGTGGTGACGTGAAGTCATGTGACCGTGCTGTAGTTCCTTTATAGAGTGGCGAAGTCACGCCCACCTACTTCCGGGTAATGGGACCTTATTTCGGAAAAATTATGCATTGAAGTCAATGGGGAGAGAAAACGTATCTTTCGATCCCGTTTGAATTGTGCCATGAATTACACATATGATGTTTGTCAATCTTAAAAAATAATTTCCATGTCAAAAAAGTCACAGTTTGTCGTAAAACT